TCGTCAAACCCTAGGCCATTGATTTTGGGGAAGTGTGTGACGCTACAGATCATTCCCCCCTAGTGGTTTCGTGAGGACCCTAAGACGATGCCAGCCGGAAGTAAAAGCCCAGTGGTTTCTCCACCGGCAAAACTCTTCTGATGGGCCCACTGCGTGAAGTGGCCCCTGCTTGTCTGAACTATCCTAGGGCGTCGTGGCAATTAAATAATAAAATACAATAAATCAAATTGTACGTCGATCACGGTCCTCAGTTCCGTTTGACGTTCCGTCCAGTGCTTTATGCACCTGGAATACAAATAAAGGTCTTTAATACCACGAAAGGGTTTCGTAGAAATGGGAATTATTCATACATATACATGTTGGAAAGTTAAAATTTACGCTTATTTTCACTTTTTTAAAAAGTTTCATCACATGGTGATAAAAATTGATATAAAAAGGCAAAGTGTACGAGGGTTTGCGCGTTGCCGGTAAGTAAGAAAAATAGTGCTGCGGAAAAAAATTTGTAGGTGAAAAAATATGGTCGGCACATTTTATTTCACACTGCTAAGTTGAATACGACTTTAAATACTCTGGAAACCTGACGGTTCTACCTGATCGTGTTTTCTGTTGCACCTATGACTGTTGCAACTATGCATTACCAGGGACATCGTCAAGAATTTCGATAATCGAGTCATCCGTCGGTCGGCTGTAGGGAGCTGAAACGTCACTTGTAGTGGGGTTGCCTTCCAAATAAGCTGGTTTCAAACGGTCGATACTGACAGTATCTTCACGTCCATCTCGCTCAGTTATGTAGAATTTCTCGTATCGCCTGATCACTTTGAATAGCCCGTCGTAGGGTGGTTCAAGCGGTGGACGAACGGCGTCGTGGCGAATAAACACGTGTGATGTCTTTTGTAAACTGAGGCGAACGGAGACATCAGTCGTTCGAGGTCTAACCAGAGAAGGCCCAACTGAACGCATTGCGTTTGCAAGCCTAGTCACGCACGATACCCTGTTTGAAAGCTGAAGGAGAAACAAACTCACCTGGTGGGCGAAGAGTGGTCCCATAGACGAGTTCTGCAGGGGTACATCCAACATCAACTTTCAAGGCGTTACGAATACCTAGTAGGACTAGAGGCAGAGCCCTGGTCCACTGAGGTATGTTTGCAGCTGAAACGGAAGCTTTTAGCTGTCGATAGAAACGCTCTACCATGCCATTTGCTTGTGGATGGTAGGCTGTCGTTCGGAACTGGGTGCAACCTAAGAGTGCCATTAGAGCGTGAAATAATCCACACTCAAATTGGCACCCGCGGTCAGTTGTGACGTGAGATGGACATCCGAAGTTTGCGATCCATCTTTCGACGAAAACACGAGCAACTGCGAAAACAAGTAAAAAGGTAGGTGCATCCATTAGATTCTGGTTACGTGGGTCGAAACGCATGTCTGGGGCTAGAAAAGAGCCTAAAGGGCTTTTCGTGTGTCGCGTGACTTTACACTTTTGACAAGCTAAGCACGACTGAGCCCACTCCTTAACGTCTTTGTTCATCCCAGGCCAGCAGAAACGTTGTGCGATAAGCCTAATGGTGGCTCGTACACCTGGATGAGAGAGTTTGTGCAACGTATTGAAGACGTTGCGTCGACAACTCTTCGGAACTATTGGGCGTGGTTGACTAGCAGAGACATCGCACAAAATTGTATCCTTGTCTGATCCAACAGGACAAAGTCGCAGCTTGAGAGTTGTGGACGACAACTCATGATGCAGCTCAAGGTCTTCCTTTTGACGCCGAGCTAGTTCAACGAGATCAACGCCCTCGATATGGTTTATCGAAGCTATTCGAGATAGTGCGTCGGCTGCGGAGTTGTTTGCTCCAGAAATGTGGCGGATGTCTGACGTGAACTGGGAAATGTAATCCAGCTGTCGCGACTCACGAGGGGAGTATTTGTCAGACGCCGAGCTGAGGGAAAAGGTTAACGGTTTGTGGTCTGTGAAAATAATGAAATCACGACCTTCCACAGAATGTCGAAAATGGCGTACAGAACAGTACATGGCTAGGAGTTCCCTACCAAATGTACTGTATCTTGTTTCCGCGTCTTGCAGCCGCCTCGAGAAAAAGGCTAACGGTTGCCACTGGTTGTCAGTCAACTGTTGCAAAACTGCTCCAATTGCTGAATCAGATGCATCAACAGCAATACTCAAGGAGCATTGGGGTCATGATGCATAAGCATGGTTGCGTTCGAAATGGCTTCCTTGACTTTAGAGAAAGCAAGTCTAGCCGCGTTGTCCAGAGACACGAACTTCGCAGTTCCTCGAAGTAGATCTGTTAGTGGTCTCATGACAGAGGCACAGTTAGGGATAAACCTTCGGTAATAACTTACCAGGCCATTGAAAGTGCGGAGATGTTTCACAGTGGTCGGCTCTGGATAGTTTGTGATAGCCGCCACTTTATCTCTCAATGGGCGTATACCTTTGTTGTCAATGGTATGCCCAAGGAAGCTGAGTGATTCAACTCCTATTTCACACTTCTGTAAGTTGACTGTGATGCCATGTTTTTTAAGTCTTTCGAATGCGAGGTCCAAATGTTTAAGGTGAGTTTCCTTATCTGGACTCGCAATTAGACAGTCATCGATGTAGACATGAACAAAATTCAAACCACGGAAGACATCGTCCATAAAGCGTTGGAATGTTTGTGCTGCATTCCGAAGACCAAATGGCATGCGCAGGAATTCAAACAGGCCAAAAGGAGTAATAATGGCTGTTTTCGCGATATCTTCTGCTGCCATAGGTATCTGGTTGTACGCTTTGACCAAGTCGATTTTGAGAAAATGTTCATTCCGCATAAGGTTGCGGTCAAGTCGTAAACGTGAGGTATCGGGTAGCAGTCCGGAGTTGTTTTGGCGTTAAGCCTTCGGTAATCACCGGTTGGACGCCAGTCGTTGCTATCCTTTTTGGGAACCATGTGCAATGGCGATGCCCAAGGACTGTTTGACGGTCTGATAATGCCCAGTTCCAGCATGTGGTCGAATTCATTTTTCGCCGTTTGAGCTTATCGGGGGCTAAACGGCGCGCTTTGGATGCCACAGGTGGACCTGTGGTTGTGACGTGATGCATAACATTGCTGGTTATGCACGGAAGAGTGTGCTTCGGTTGTAACTCTGGATATTTCTCCAAAACTGCCTGGTAGGACGCGTCGCCTGATTGTTTGGCCTAACGATGGCTAAACTCGGACCTACATAGGTGGTGCCGCCAATAGATAACTTTGTGTTGTTATCTATCAGTCGTCGACGGCGAGCATCTACGAGTAGATCGTAATGGTTTAGCAAATCTATGCCAATGATGGGCATAGAGACGTCAGCCAGGAGGAAAATCCAGTGTGTGGTTTGCGTAAACCTAAGTTGAGGTAGGCATACCGTCTCCCGAATGTCGCGATTGCCTTGCCGTTGGCTGCTTGAAGATTGAAGGATGGGTCATGATGACGCTCCTTTGTCGGTGCGGGAAGAACGCTAACTTCTGCGCCGGTATCGACGAGGTAGTGAACTTTCGTTTTGATATCCGTGACCCAGAGCAAACGGCTGTTTCCGCCGGCTACTGTTGCTGTGAACACGTGCCGGCTTGGCCGTTTCCCGAGTTTATGTCCCTGTTAAAACTGCATGGTTTCCGGCATTTTCTGGCTTCGTCTCCCTAAGTGTTGTGAAACCAGCACCATTTAGGGTTTTCCACCCTGTTAGGTTTAGTTTTGGGGCAAGCAAGCGAGTTACTGCGATGCTCTGAGACGCCTTTCTGTGAAGTTCTACGTGAACTAGGACTTCGAGATCGTAGCAACTGTTTAACAGAGTTGCACAGCTTGGTCACCTCTGAGTCCTGGCGCTCTGGTTTGTCGCAGACAGAATATACGTTGGAGACGGGTCTGCTAGAAATCTCCAGTATTTTATCTGCTGAGGCTGCCAGGTCATCGAGTGGGACTGACTGCGGAGTCACCAACACGTTTGCACCGGTTTTGGTAGTTTTGAGAGAAATAGCTCTCGGAAAAGGCCGTTGTCGAATGTTCATGCGCCGATTACTCTCACATGCGTGCGAGGACCTCAGTAGCTGAGTGGCTGCCTAGTCCGATGTTACGAAGTAATTCTTCTAGGCGCTGGCGATCTGCGAGATGGCTTTTCTTCAAGAATGCGGCCTTGGGAAGTGCATAAGTATCACTTACTTCAGGATTAAACATGTGTGCCGTAACGTGTCTATTTAATTCCCGCGGTAGTGACCGTATGACAGCAAGAAATCAAGAATGAGGATCTGAGGCACCCTGTTCTCGAAAATCAGCCTCAGCATACAGAAACCATGTTTCCGCATTGTCTGGCCAATATGGCACGAGTTGGATCGTGTTTGCAGTCGGCTTAATACGAATAAGCTTAGGAGTGTGGTCGAGCATGAGAAAGTGTAGTAAATGGATATATGAATGTTATCGAAATGAAAACAGTATACAAATATAAAGTGGAACAGGATCACCAATTCAATATTTGTTATTGGTCGGGATATGTGATCACGTCGGGCTCACCAATTTAGGATTTGTCCTGGTGCGAACTTGACAGACGCAAAGACCGATCACTGATTATTCCAACTTGTTATATACCCACGAGTATGAGACCAAGGGAGAACACGATAACGTAGTCGGAAGGAACTGTATATTTGGGTGGTTGGGCCAAGATACCGATGCGTTCCAACTAATGGCTAGAGAGTCGAGTACGAGCAGTGCAACGTGACATGACAGCGTGCCGAATGGCGAGGATGCTTGACCGGGTGCCTCCAGCTTAGCGAGTCCAGTCAAACTATCAAGGTCAGCATCAATGTCGAGAGTCGTCAAACCCTAGGCCATTGATTTTGGGGAAGTGTGTGACGCTACAGGTTGATTGTCGAAGGAACTTGGGATTCACTGTTCATATATGCCGAGGTTGGCTAGATGAAAGCTTATATTATTCCATTGCCCATCATATGAAAAGTGTTTAAAACCTTGGGGATTGAACAAGATATCACTAACGTGAACACCAAACGAGTTTTTCCGCCACCCTCCTGCCTGCATATTTGGGCGGAGTATGTCATCGTATTCTCAAAATGCTACCGTTGACTTACGACAGAAAGTCACTGGCCTCAGACGTCAACTCAGCCACCCACATCTAAACAAATTTAAGGAGGCCAAAAAGGAGATTGGGAGTTTATACAATGACATTTTATGTTACGTATCTGATTGTCACAAATTTGCTGAGGAACAAAACGATGGTAATTTTTATGTTGCGTTTTATTTTGTGCAAGAAGAGAGATTTTCCAGGTTGATTGGCGAAGAAACTTACTTGGAGGTTGAACATCAACTTCAGAAGATTCGGAGTATCCAAGAAATAATTGCCCGTAATCAAATGAAATGTGCATTTTTCGGCAGGTAACGTCTCTTGGAAATGGAAAGGTTTCGATTCCTTTTTTTACTGGAAGTCGCATTTTCGTGGTTAACAGCTGGAAAGAATATTCAGTGTGGTTGCCTCATGGCTTTGTAAACAAGTTGTTTAGCGGATTTTTAGGCTCATTAGATATGTCATGAAATCACATGCAGTTGCAAGGTCCCTATTGTTTATTTAAAATTCGAAAGTGACTCAACATTTTGAGTGTCCTACTCCTCTCAAGAGACCCCTAGTTTTCTGTAAAACGAACGAGGAACGGTTGTGTAGAGCCGAAAATTGAATGTTCTGTACTGTGCTCTTTTATTTGAATGCTGATCAGGCATAGAAACAAGATTGGTTGTCCCATTTGATACATGTCATGTCGATGGGCAATCTTAGAAGGTGTATAACATATTCTTGTACACATCATATTCGTTTATAAGTCCCTGTGTATTAACTCATCTCATTATCCTGTTTATCTTCAAAATAGATTTCAGCATTGTGATGCCTTTTTTTTGTTTGGGACTTATCTCAACAATTTTCGCTTATAGAAGAAGTTGGTCAGGCATCAAAAACTGGATATCAGAGTCCATAGGACTAATTGGATTTTTTTGGATACAACAATTTTCTTTCGTCCGAGTAGGCTGCTAGCAAGTGGTTGGTCTTGATTCCCGAGTCCCAGCTATGGGATGAATGTATCAAGATTTGGACTACCTTCTTGAGTTTACAACGGGATATTTTTTCAATTTTTATTAACAGACTCAAGTTATCTCAGCCCTGTGGATCAGTTCAACTCTCCACAGTTCAAAGTGACATGCTGAGTGCAGGTGGCTGGAAAAAGGAATAAAGTAGGTAAAAGTATGTAAGAGAAAGGAGAATTTGAAAGTGAAAGTTATTGACAATATTCAGACTTTAGAAAGCATTATCATCATCGTCATCAATATCAACATAGGACCAGGTATTACTGCGTAACGGTCCAAGTTGCCACAAAGAGTCAACTCATCTGTTCCATTATGACGGATTTTCAGTCACATCGTAGGTCTCCAACCAATGGTTTCTAACCAAGCTGTCTGCACCTAACATGGTTGAGACCAACAGTCAAAGACTTCATGAGCCGATTCCGCGTCTTGGTTTAGCTACCCTTAGCCTTCTTCTAATCCAATCCTACTTCGGTCCACAGTCTGGAAATAGCTTCTCAACTGTCTTTACCGCTGCTTCTATGGCAGACTAAATATCACTTTAGGTTTCACCTGTAAAAGTATCGCTACTATGTTCAAATAAATACTTGATCATCTATACATGCACAACTGAAGTTCTAATTTTCTGGCTGAGCACATAGGTGCTTTATTGGTGTCTGTTTTCTGTACCCATCAAAGCTTAAACTCACAGGTATCCGCGGTGACGTATGATTGGAGTCCAGATGTATGCTGAAAAAGACGGATCTTCCACCTATCCCATTCAACAATGGTTAGTGGCAACATGATGTGTCAACCGTTGGTTTAAAGCTGATGGGCACCAAGTGACACTATCTTCCCTCGTAGTTATTGTTAGTCTAAAACAAGTGATTGGTAGGGAAACATTCTGAGGATTTGGTAGATTCCTTTCTTATTGACTAAGCTTCCCTACTTGGGTGTTAAAGTCGCTTGTTGTGTCGGTTTCTAAACCTGTTGCTTTATATAACAAAATTGACAGCTTTTGGCAGCTCATCATTTTTAGCATCCGAACTGTCGTGGATGTGAGCGTAGGTGAAGATTGCGAATATGTATCCACGTGTATCTTAGTCGTTTCCAGTATTTACGGACCCGTTCAGTCAGATAACACATAACTATTAGCTGGTATCGCGTTTTTCTTCATTACAGCGTAATATAATGCATGCACAAAGGAATTCATAGGAACAATCCATTGAATCTCCGGACAGAAATCTGGATTTACTCCATTGGCCAGATGTGGTTAAGTGGATAACCACACGTGGGTATCGTATTCGTGTCTCAGAAATAGCATACATCGGTGCAAGTTTGGCATGTTGTCCGACATAGCATAAAGTTGGGACGTTGAATTCCCCAATTTAAAATTAGTAATATGGTTTTCGGTGGCTAAGAATATTGTTTTGTTGTTTCAAACCGTTAGCAAAGAGGTCCAGAGATGTAAAGAAAGCTGTAGGGAGCTTAATATTGGTATCAAAAAGCAAAAAAGGAGATAATTGTGTGGTAGGTAGATTATAGTTATTCGGATTTTTCATGCTACTGGGGACGCGTGGGTGGCTGTTACTTCACGGCTCTTCGCACTGCGGAAGCTGTTTCCACAGGGCATCTGAAATTTAAGCAGTAATTGTGGCGCGTGACGGAAAAGCTCGTGGGACATCTGCTTGAGGTTAGTCACTTAAGGGGTTTGGACTGAGATTTGATTATGCTACCTCAGGACCGAAAAACCCCATATCTCCAGCACTGAGATATTACAGAGCAAGGAGAAGTGCTACTTTTGGGGTTGACCTTTCCTAACCACTTTTTCCGTAGGGAGGATGACTTCAATATGAACTACTAATTATTTGTGGTAAACACATTACTGTAGTTACATCTCTTGCCAGGAAGATAAATTCACCGTCAGATCCACATCATAGTGTGGGCTATGTACATTATAATGGTAACTACTTTTCTCTTACCAGTATCTAACAGGCATTTCTGGGGTGGTCAGACTTCAAGAAACAAATGTTCCCACCAGTTTGACTCATAGAATCACTGTGATATGCAAGCCTGGCCACCGTGTTGCATATATATATATATATATATATATATATATATATATATATATATATATATATATGATTGCGTAAGAAGTAGAGTAGCTATGTACTGTGTGAGCGTCACCAAAGTCTTATGTTCTGTTTATTTTATTTCACTTTTCTTTGTATCTGCTTTTCCTGTTGAGAGAATAAATCTGCCTTGCTTTAATTTTCGCAAAATTATTTAAAACGTCGCTTCTTGCAAGAAAACTTGGTCAGCGAACTGCTTGTACTTTCATGTCTGTTTGGCAACTTTTTTATATGCTGTTTTTATACTCAGGACATCGAATGGAAAAAGTACTGTAATAAATGCAATGTTGGGTTCAAAACTGTTACCTTCTGGTTTGGGTCATACTACCAGTTGTTTTCTGGAAATTCAAGGCACAGATCAAGAGACAGGATATCTCCTTATGACGGAATGTGAAACTAACAGAGATCCCTCAGATAGCTCAAACCAGGTTTGATTTGACGTTTAGTCAGTAATTTTAACTCATAGTTCAATGGATTTGCACAGTTTTTGTTGGATTGTTGCAATAGAAAATATGTATACTGATGTTAATTGGTGATAGATCGTTAAGAATATGCATGTTCTTTTTGTTGTAACACTATTTAGTGGAAATAATTTATGCTGCATTTCTCTATCCTGGTGTCGAATTTGCATCCCCTACTGTTTACCTGATCACTTCCATCTCATCTGAGGTTTGTTGGTACTTTTCATGTCATAGTCTCTAGTGTCTTTGTCCTCCAAGCTTACTGTAAAGTGAAGACCTCTGAGTACAAATTTCCTCGTATTTTCGCATCTTTTTCTTCGTACTTTCACTCGTGGTTACAAACTGCTTTAATATTCAACTATTCTGAACCTACTTTTGTGTAATTGGATTTCATAGGCTTTTTCATATTTGCGAATATTTCAGTTAATATTCGGTTGACTGAACTTACAACCACCGTTTTTTTGTTTAACAGCTTTGCAAAGGAATATATGGAACTAAGTTCTGCTTTCTCCATAGTATACTGTGCACCGAAAAGTGGTTTTAGTACTAGTAATGAATTAGTTGAGTTGGGTGATTTGGTATTTATGGAGGTAAATTAACACTAATCGTGTGATTGAGTGTGAAATTTCAACTAAGATGTGTAAGATCAAATTTTTATTCGCCCTTAAGTTATTTCCATACTTGATGGGTGACTAGTATATTGAATCACTACTGTATTCTAAAGTGTATATTCCCTACTAATATTCAAGACCAAAGATTGAAGGTAAAGTACAAAAAGATGTCAACGAAGCTTATACTAAAACAGCTATTCTGTAGCATTGTCTTGTAGCTATATTTCAATCAGTAATTATTATTTTGTCATCGTTCAAATTTGACATTTGTTCAACTAGAAATGTATCGCTCATTTTTCAAACCTAATTTGCTTAGTTGGATATTTTCGATTTATTTTGTGTTCGCGGCTTTGTAATTTACAATATAGGGCTTATGAATTATGAAATATTGTGTTTTTGTTACTCGTTCTGGCATTTTTTGTTCAGTTAAACTCTTAGCTACGAAGCTAACGATTCATAGTCCGCATTTCAGTTTAAAAAATTGGCAGAATGTAATCAGTTTTATCAGCTGTAAACTGAATGCTTAGGAGATTATATGGCAGTGATTCCGTGGTTTTTTAATAACTGTCTAGATTGGTATGGCTTTGTCCATTATATATATGAATAATACCTGTTTAAAACTTAGTTTTTACATTCGTCGACGTAAAATACTACCAATAGTTATCTGCACCAAAAGGTGCAAAATTTGGTTTACCTTAGTGATCACATTGCAAAATTGATCAGTAGTCTTCGATCAGTACTCAGGACTTGGCAGTTACATCAACCGCTATCCAGTGACCAATCCATGTACAAACCTTTTTTCCTTTGTAAACCTTACTGTAATTTGATGTTACTTACTAAGAATGTATATAGGTTACTACTTAGCCTTGTCTCAAGATGACTGTGGTTTTAACAAGTTCGATATAACTACGAACAATAGCTCACGTTCACAGGCTCTTCTAGCAAGTAACAATTATTTGTACTGTGTAAAACAGTCGAACACAAAGATATAGGATGTGATTTAGTTACTGGTTTTGAAATCGCTTTATACCATAGTTTTCATGAGAAACACGGTTACCACTTGCAAATCTAATATACTGTTGGTCAGTCTTTGATAGCTTTCAAAATTCTACCCACTTTTTGTCAATGATATACCGGCAAATCTTGCGATCAGTCTTTCCATAACGAAGTGTGGAAGTCAAAGTGTCCTTACTTAACTCGAATTCGTTAGGTTATGGATTAAAAACTATTCCATCTACTTTGGTTTGAGCAAATTGTTGGTGTTTGTTTACCATACAAGTGTAATCCGCAGCGTATTGCACAACTTCGTACCAGCTTTTTGGAGTACATTTCACTTTTCATGTACCTAACGTGGTTATGCACTCACTAGCATGCAGAATATTAACATACATTTAGAAATAACTCTTGATTCATTTTCGTGTAGTTACTCAAAGCTTTTTGTGACTTTATTTTCGGCAGTAACGAGTGAATACTAGTCAGTCGAAGTAATTTATCTTTTGACTGTAAGGAAAAATGTAAACGGGCTCTTGCGGATGTAGCTTTGTAATCTTATCACAAATTGTAGAAAATGAATTAAAAGGTAGATATTTAGGGTTGCAATAGATTGTAGCAGTTCTGAGATTCATTCAAAGCACTCTCTGTCGTTTGTGTTTGTGCATCTTATTAGTTGACAATAGGGAAGTAATCTTCAGTTGTTTATAGGCTTTCAAAAAAGGACTCGAGAAGTTTCAGGATAGTCATGGATACTCAGCTCTCTGAACTTAAGGAAACACATTAGACATCTGTGTTCTCAGTTACGTAGAGTGGTTGGCTTGCATTTACTTCTGATTTCCAATGCCAATTTAAGATATCATAGTTCAGTTTCGTAATCACAATCTGTGGTGTATGTACTGTTTTCACGGGGGAAGCGCTCTTATAGCATCTCTAGTATGCTCAGTAGGGTTGTATCAACAATCCATATACTGTTTAACATGTAATCTACTATACGAACTTGCACATGATCACCGAATCGTTTAAGTAATTCAGTGTCGTATAAAAGGAGTTCATTTACTTTAACTGCATTAAAATAGGATCTTAATCAGGTTAGTATATTCTTTTAACTAGGCTCGTCCGATTGACTCTGTTGGTCAGTTGGCTCATGCACTGAGCAGTGTCAAACTTTCCGCAGATACTTTGTTAAAAATATTTTGGCCCAGCTCACATTGCAGACTTTTACGTGAAGATGTTGTTCTTTTGGATAGTCCTGGTATTAATGTAGATCCCGATATGGATAAGTGGATCGACCTTCATTGCTTGGATGCTGACGTTTTCATCCTTGTTGCCAATGCTGAGTCAACATTGATGCAAGCTGTAAGTATTTCATGTATTTAGGCTTTTTTAAAATCATAAATTACATATACACAGTAGTATCTTTGTTTTTTGCCTCAAGAAACTGGCAGCTTTTTAGGGTTAAACTAATTGTAGACTTCGGAGAAATATCTTACTGACTCAGTACACTGCATGAACACCCAAGACATTCAGCTATTTCAATGAAGTGTTTCCTAAATGAACAAGCGAAAGTAAAAGTCATTTCTCTAACGAGCAACTGGAGCTTACTAAGTGTAGAATAGATTGTCAAAACACTGAAACAAGTTACAGGAAACATTGTAGTTTTCTCTTGAAGTTATGATGAGATGAATCCGATGTGCTTTTTATGTGGTTGGTTTGAATAGAAACCTGTTGATAAAAACATGATTATGTTTAAAATTGAAAGCTTTCTAGTAATCATTTCTACTGGTTAACATTAGTGTACTCTTTCGATATCGTGAATAAAATTATACTCTTCCACTGATGATTTGCTCTTTGGCTAACATTAATTGTTCATCTATTTTTAGGAAAAAGATTTCTTCCACAAAGTTAGTCAGAAACTATCTAAACCCAATATTTTTATTATTAATAATCGATGGGATGCTTCAGCAAACGAAATGGAATATGTTAATGAGGTATGTACTCGTTTATTCATTTTTATTGGTTGTCTCTGTTGAGTTAATGATGAATGAAACATTGTCAAGGAATTTGGGTTATGTACTAACTTAGAAATGTCACTTATACTGATTTATTTCTTTGTAGTTTACTTTTCCGTATTGCATTGTTTGGAAGTATAACTACTTAAAAGAATAAGTTTCTTTTGTTATTACTTAAAAAAAATATTTGTACCTCTACCTTAAGCACTTGACTTCCAAGTAATAGGTGGGTGAGTTCAAATCATCCTCCACTTACCATATTTCAGGCGATTAGATGGTGTCATTGGTCCACACACAATTGTTGCAGCTGTCTACATCAAATTGTATTCATATGCTGAGTCGAATGATCGCATGGGCATTGTCACTTCGCCACAACTATTAGTTGAACATAGTCTTTTAGAATTAATGAATGTTCGACGATGGATGCTATTAACTATAAGCATAGAATAGGACATCTGGTAATATGGAGAGATTTTGTGTCACACTTATCTTGGACTGGTTTATTTATGCAACACTACATTTGTGGCAGCATAAAGATTTTACGACATTAAGTATACTGAAAGAGTAAGAGTAGTTTACTTATCAAGGAGGCATAAAATATTCTACTCTTTTCATGTGACGGATATTTTTCTTGTTATGCATAGCAATAGTGCGAAATTCTCAATACGGAATCTGGCTTTATGAATGATTGGTTAACAACTAACCCATCAACTCTGTAAGCCTAACATTAAGGGGAAGACAGTGTTTGTGTTGAACAAATATACTTCAAACAGAAAATTGGTCGTACAATATCGTCGCGTATGTACTTTAGCAGGTGACAAATTAAACAGCGTACTAGGAGTCAAATAGAACGCAAAAGTAAAATAGCTTCGCATGTAACGGTAGAGGAAGATGCTACATGGAAGCCAGGAAAAGGCGTGAAAAAAAAGAAAATTTTAATTTTGCAAGACAAATTTTATGAAAGTGCAAGCAGTCAAGGTCATATTCAGGGATTAAACATCAACATTTATGCTACTAAAAACAGTATGGACGGAATGGTTTAACCACTTGTTCAAACAAATGCTACAAGCGTAAATTGTTGTGTAATCGGACCAAAATGTAATAAGTCTAGAGAAGTCGAGTTTTTTCAGATTAGAAAATAACGGAAAGAGATAAATTTTGTTTGGTTTATTCACAAGTGTAACAGTAAGTTTATGAAGTAGTTGCAAAAAGTAATCAACATTTCCGAATTCACTGGAACTCCACATCAGAGCCGGGAAATATTCTTACCTTGTTGTAGTCTCATGTTGATTCGAGTCAATGTAAATCAACCAAGTGATATCGTTTGGTGAATAACTGGAAATTGTAGGAAGGAGCTGATGCTAATAAATGTATAACCATTGTTTCCCCAGAACATTTTATCTCAAGGGAAGTCCATCAGTATAAAATAAGCAATAATCGATTTGTCACCCATGAATTCCTAATTCAGCTAAAGTAAAGAACTGTTTCTACCTTTTTGACTCATAATAGTAATATAGTACTACTTGTCATCTGGCTGACCTAAAGAACTAGTGAATAATTCGATAGGATTATTTAAACCCTACATTAGCGTTAGTCAGTATATGAGACAGGATAGCTCTTACTATCGGGGTTATTTATCCAAGGTGTTGGTTTATGTCTGTGAAGCTAGTTATCCTACAGTAAGTAATGCAACTGTTGATCCATTCTAGGCATCTATAACCATTTTATTCATCTCAACAGTTTTCATTCATAGCTTCTATGTTAACATTTTCGATATGGCCTCTGTGTTACTGTAAACCGCCACCATTATCTTTTGCACTTCATTATTACTCTAGTATTCAGTCAAAGTTAGGAAATACAGTGAGATTAGTTGTTGATGAGGTTTTGGGTGGATCACACACTTCAGACCTGACATGCTGATTCTTAATGTACATGGACTATATTATCTTTTTGTAACATTATAAACGTAAAAATGATGCGAAATTGTCTAAATAGTAATATACCAGTTGCAGAAAGAAACTTAATTGAACCACAGTCACGATAGTAGAGAGAAGAACGTTTTACTTGACTGAGGTGCTATAAAGGTGAATCGAAGGTGCAAAGTCATCAAAACATTTACCTAACTTACAATAATGTTTACTGCTAACTGCTAACCTTTTGTAAGGGGAGTTTTGAATTTTATGACCTCATAAAGCAAAGAAGTACTCTAACTACTGCTGTGATTACTGATTGGGGTCGTCTTCGTTGCGGAGCTGTGGCTCATTAGTTTAGAGGGATGACTTTCAACCAACGGGTCACAGTTTCGAGCCCTGCCCCACCTACCATGGTTTGGGCAACCAGGTAGTATAATTAGCTCTCAAATACTAGGCGTGGTTTACTGCCTACTGCACGAATGTGCGCGTGGTTACTGACTGCACTGATTTAGAAAAAATTACCTTCGTTGTGAATAAGAATGTTTGAATGTTTATTGCCTTTGTTTAGCTATTCGTGTAGCTCGACAACAGTGTCAGAATAATTCAAGGCACCTTACAATATTCTCTCGAATATACGCTGATGAAAGATTGAATGGGAATTCTGTTACGTAGATTAGGGTTTTCAGACTTCAGTCATGTGGAAAAAATGGCTATTGTGTCAGTTGAAGTCGTGTTAGTATGTGCTGAAAATCCCAGATTGTATCAAAATCGTTTGGAATAAAGTGATTATTATTACTATTGTTGTTATGTAGTTTTCTAGCTCTTTGGCTTACCACTTGTGTTCAGTGGTAAAATGACGCTTACAAAACTGATTTTTAAAAATCAATTTATTTCATATGTCAGTGTGTATGCTGTCAACACTAAACGTGCATTTTATATCGTAGCGACGATTCAATGGAATGACATGGACGAGTTTTCCAAAAATATCTATCTAATTAAGTAAAGCAGCAGGCCGGTAATCTGAAGGCCGCTAGTTCAAAACCTGCTGTGACTCATATCTTCATTACCTCTTCAATCATCACTGGTTTTTGATACAAGTCTGTCAAACTACTGCTCAGATACTCAAACTGTTTATCAATATGATGTCCCCCTTCTCTAATTTAAGCAGATTTGGATTTGGACTAGAAGTTCTGACTGGGTAGCCAATGTAAGATGAAACGATAGTAGCGCATGGCAGTCAGACGAAACTCTTGGTGATTAAAGGTAAATAAAAATATGGTAAGCAGTCGGTAGAGAACGGCTCAAATTTTCATTTCACTTTCAATCACCACCCAGTATCAACTAATTATTTGTTAATCAATAATTCTTTGTGGGTTGTGGGTAGGAAAAAAAATAACGAATGAATTAAAATTACGTAAGAAACGTGGAAATATTTGACGACGTGAATAACTGTTAGCTGAAATCAAGAATTAAAGGATTTCAAACAAAGTGAATAGATAGTTGTCATTCTCCCCCTCTCTGACAAATGTTTTTATTCTTTGATTTCAACTCACACGTAATAGCGTTGTCAAACCTGTTCATTTTTTTGGTTTATGGCCTAGTTACTTAACACCAGCAAATTTCTCCTAAAATCAATGAAAGTTATCCAGGTAGTTTCTACTTATTTCATTTTGATGCTTCTGGGATAATTGCTAGACAATATGGCAGTTATGTACTATTTTATTATTTGAAATTTCTGTAAGGTAATTAAAACTGATTACTTCATTTCGACTGTTTGTTCAGGTTCGTGAGCAACACCTGCAGCGTTGTGTAGCATTTCTCGTCGATGAATTGAAGGTATGTTCACGTACAGAGGCAGAAGGACATGTGTTCTTCGTTTCGGCTCGTGAAGCCTTAGCAATACGGACGAAAGCAAATTTAGGTGAAAATCTTCATGCAGCCACAAGCATAGGATCTCCTTTACCAGCAAGTAAGCTATGGATCTGACAGAAATACAAATGTTATTGACCGAAATCACGCTGCAACTACTTTAATTTTATTGAAATATGAAACAGACATTTGCGTTGATGTTTTATTTCCTTACTCTCCAGCTTTTTGATTTCTTGACTTGAAGTTTTGTTTTGTATGATGTTCCAGAGAGGTTCTTCATATGTCGTATAAAGAGATGTAAAGTATTTAAAACCCCTAAGATAAAATAAGTACGTGATTCGAAACCTCGATTCTGAATCACCTGTAAGGGTATATGTAGTCAAACTTTTGTGCTGTTCGAATCATCCTTTTATCTATGCACTTTTTAGAACCTTACTTCACTTTCTTTTTCGCATTTACTCTCATCTTTTTTGTGCTGTTTCCACCTTTAGTAAGTCACTGTTATACAGTAGTGTCAAGTTATACGGATCTCCTTAGCAAACCAAACAAAATACCTATGTTACGAATTTTGTAGAATAAGTAATTATTTAACATCTGTAAATTCTGTTGTTCTAGAAGTTCTGGTTGACTGTCTACATATTCCACTCACTAGTTGTTTTAAAACTGTGTATTATTATCATCGTCATCAACATAGGACCAGGCATTACTGCATAGCAGTCCGAGTTGCCACAGCTCACATCAGTACATCAAGTAAAAAGGCAGTGAAGTGGGAGATGAAGAAAAGAAAACTCAGTCAAAAGAAAAATAAAGTACGAAAGGAGAGAAAGGAAGAACGAGAAAATGGTGAGATTCGGTACAGCGTTAACATGAGGATAATGTGTGTATGCATCTGCGCCACTGACTTCGATTCTGAGCCATATCATCTAAAGTCTCCAACCACTCTTTCATCTTGTCCCGCGGTCTCCAGCCGGCTAGTCTGCATCGCCTCACATGACCAACAGTCAAAGACTTCATGCATTGATGCCACGTTTTAGTCTGGCCACCTCGGCCCTTTTTCCAGCCTCAACCTACTTCGGCCAATATTATCACTGTCATTAATAATGTCCTCAAGTTTTTCGAGTTTCAAAAATTCGCAAACATGTGTGTTGATAGAAGGTCATTTTTTGGGTAGTTATTCATCCAAGAAGTTTGTAAGCACTCCAGTGATGTGTAGGCAGTTCCCATTAATTGTTCCTGAGGAGTTTCATAATCGGAAAAAGACAGTTGCTCAATGCTCACTGGTTTCTTTTAGTCTGTACCTTTTGCACTAGATCATAAACCACATCTCGTTTGTGGGAGCTAGTGATAATAATTAGTTTTCTAGATCTACGTAGTTGGAACCGATTTAATTCATAATCTATTGATGCCTAGACAACCGTAACATGGCTCTACAATTCTTTTACGTCAAAGCCTTATTCGATTCAATGTGTAGTAAAAAAATCATGTTCAAAGGAGTGTTTATCTTGTCATACGTGATGCGACTGTGGTCTGGATAAGAACAGTATTATTTATAGCAGTTTGTTTAGATGAGTTACAGTTCTGTCTTACGGCTGTGGATGTTTGATTACCATTATCTCCTCAGGGTATTGTCTATCTGTCTCTAAGGTTGCTATCATCCTATGACAATGGCATGTAAGAAATTCTGAGCTGACGCATCACAATTATATTAAAGTAAACATTGGGCACTACGTTAGATTATAATCCCGTTTTAGTCTGTTTATTAGATGTGTCACACAGTGAAACTGTGTTTACTGTTTAACTATTTGGGCATGAATACGGACTATAAATTATGTCCGAAATATCCAGTCATTATACTATTTCACCGTGATACATCTGATAAACAGACTGAAATGGAGGTGTCGCGTGTTTAAGCGTCATTGAGTGAAAAAATCATCTTGAAACAATGGCTTCGGAGGCTGGAATATGTATTGCGAATTTCATCTATAACCCCTCTTACACAGTTTGTTGTTTGCTTGTTTTGGCACTGGTTGGGAAAAGCGGAGAGATGACCAATGAGTGATGTTGCGCCGTTAGACGATGGATAGTTATTTTGAGTGAATATCTTATAGTGCCCTACGACTTTCTGTTTGAGGTCCAAGAGATCACGCAACTCAGTGGGAGGTAGCAAATATGTCCCAGAATTGAAACGGGTGGCGATCATGTAACAATTTTATTGTTTCTTCTATCACTGAAGAGTGAAACGAAGGTATTTGATGATTCTTTGAATGTTTTTTTGACTCTGCCTTTTTGATGATCCGTTCCTACTTCTTACCTTTATATTTCTCCGTCTCTTTCTTTGTATCACTTTTGTCTTCCTAATGTTATTTAATATTGTGCATCTCTTGGCTTCCATGTTGTGCCAAGTTTCTGTTTAAATGCGTAAATAATAAATAGTTGTAACATCATGGTTTTCGGACTAGAAATGAAGATTTGGTAACTGTCTAGTTCAGAAGTACTTGAAGTAACTGTGCAAGTATCACGGTAAATAAAAATAAGAAATCTTTGTCAGGTGTTCATCAACATTTTTGTCAGGAATTTCATTGGACATAAATATGGCATTACTCGAAGCATTGTAGATACTAGTTAGTAACATAATGGAGCTGTGGCTCATTGGCTCAAGCAGTTGACTTTCAACCAGTGGGCTACGGGTTCGAACCCCGCCCCATCTACTGAGATGTTGGCAGCCAGGTAGTATTACTGGCCCTCGCACAACAGATGTGGCTCACTGCCCATTTGACGGATGTGCACAAGGTTGCTGAATGCGTTTCTACTATTCTTTGTCGATTCGAACAACAACATGCTATTCAAAAGTCAATTTATTCATCTTGTTATTTAGCATGAACAGGTGCTTTCTCTGTAAAAGAAATTCTCATATTTCGTTCACTATTATATAAGTGATGTTTTGTCATTTATTTCAGTGGCGTATATGGCTGAAGGATGGAAAGACAGACTTTTAGAATTCCAGAATTTTGAAACTATTTTCGAGGTTAGTGATTACAACATTCATTCACTCCTGTTGTTTTGAGTTACATTTTTTATGTATAAGTGTGGTAACTATTTCTGTAGAGAATTACATACCATTGAGGCATTTTCAACTGCCATCACCATCAGAGCAGCGGCCAATAAACTTGTTCCAGTTTCTTCTTTTCTAGCATGCTGTGATGTGTTACTGGTTGTCTTAGGAAGTCATCGAGAATAGTATCCGATATGAGTTTTACACAGTTCTTTATTACTCCTTCAACATTTGACTGTGAAGCACACTTTGTTATTTTAAATTTGAATCATGTCACTTCATTATGGAGATAACTGTTTGCCACTTACTGGTTTCAACAGACACGCTAACATGCATCATTTTCCCACTAAAAACTTTCTCAGTAATTTATTCTGAACATTTTACCAATATTATCACTGCTATAGATTTCTGCCTAGTGTAATCTTTGATTACATTGTTGTATTTGACTTAGGACCATGTTTTTACTTTTTGTTAGCATTATAATATAATTTCCACCTTTTTCATTTTGTGCAGATCACTCATATTGTGGTTATTAGGTATGTTATAGAGCCATGTTATTATATTTTAGCTGAATGCTTTCAGCTAGTACGCCGACCTGTCCGGTAGCGACTATCACGTATATAGATTTATCTGTCGTTAGAGAGTAGTCTTGATAAATTACCTATCGTGCCAATCATTCGGAGGTCAGAAGGCGATTTAACAGCTGTTCTTGAAGTATGGAGTTTTGAGAAGACAGTATGTCAGCAAAACTATACTCCTAAGGCCTAGACTCATATCGATTTGTTGGTTTGGATCTTTGTTCTTATCCGGTAACTAGAATACTTATGTCGTTACTTAACAGCATTTTCTGTCCACAAGATTATATATATTACTCAGGGTGTGAAAATCCAAGTCGACCCCCAAAATTAGGTCACTGGCTCCTATCATTGATGAACCGTTACAAATCTATCTACAAAGAATGTATCATTTCAAAGAAATACTGTCTAGTGAGTGACTGACACTGGAAAGTACCATACAAAAGTCTTTGCTCGATTCAGTCTTTGCATCTGTTCTAATTTAGTGTTGATCGTACTGGTGTATTTTTCTTGGTTATCTGTTCATAATATTTTACAGCCAGGTGTTTGTTTACAGTTTACGCTAACCAGCAGTTGTTTTTATTTGTGCATAGAAAAATCTTTCTGAGTCTGCTACCCGTACTAAATTTGCAGCTCATTCTGAACAAGGTAAAGATGTAGTGAACAAATTTAGAACAATAATGGAGAATATCTATGAGACTACAGTTGAAGAAAAGTAAGTATTTCATTCGCCTTTTGCATTTTGATCATTTCTAGTTAAAATTATTCCATTTCCTATTTTATGATTGTGAACATGCTATGGTTGAAATTTTGTCGGCCTAGCCTTAAATACATTTATTTTCATATTTTATCCATTGTGACTAAGTGTAATACTGGCACCATGATATTTTCTTTCTTTTGGGTTAAAATATTCACTATACTGCAACATAATCACGTCTCCTCCCGTAAATCAGTTGTCTTAATTTAGACTAGATTTGCTACTGATGTTCTGTTCGTGCTATGTCACTTGACCTACCATTACTTAAGTTATATTCATGAAGATTTGTTTAGGCACTCCTAGATGCTCTTCGTTATAGGTACATTTTTTCTCATTATTCTTCTGGACACCTGACACCACTTGTACATATACTATTATGGTGATTGTTAAATAAATTTATTTTGCACCAAATCTATCCACGATAGAGATGCTGCTGTCCGATGTCGTCGTCTGTCTCAAGCACATCTTGAAGAAGTACGTTCTCGATTGATGAAAACAACTCAAGCTGTGGACGAAATGCTTCATGCTAGTTTGGCACGTGTTGAAGCTCAAGTTGCCAGTGCGTTAAATGCTGAGATCCGACGTTTGGGTGAACTTGTTGACAGTTATTCACGCCCCTTTCATCCAGATCCAGCACTGTTGCATGTATACAAGCGAGAACTAAATACACACGTTGAACATGAATTGGGTCGGAAACTTACTGAAGCCTGTTCTAGTGATATTCTTAATGAAGTTGCTCGATGTGAACAATTAATGATGAGTGAGTTGTCCAGTTTCAATATTAACTGAGGTTATTAGTGTTAAATTTGTGACTGAATTCTATACTGTGTCAAAATACTGTCTGAAATACATTGGTTATTATTTTTATTATCAGTAACGTCATTGTCATGAATGCTCCCTTAGGATTGTTTTGAAGTTCGAAAAATTGAGCCTTTCTATACTTGTCGTTTGTATGCTGCTGATCCACCTGAATGTTATCGAGTAAAAGTTGTAGTCTTTCAATACTCTTAGCTCTAAAAATATGCACCAGGAACATATGAGGGAATTTCACTCTTATGAAATTCCGTGTATTCACATAGACTACGGCATAGACTACAAACTGGACGATAAGTCTCTCGTTAAGAAAATTAATCTCCACTGAAACTAAATTACCTTAGAAAGGACTTAAGTTTAGCGTCGCAGTATATACATATCATTAACTGACCTTCCTCCTCCCTCCAAAGCTCTACGTTTGACATCTGGGTTACTCACATGGTGACACCACGACGACGGTGATCTAACACATGATCCTTCTCTTGTCCTCTACCTCTCATAGGCGTTTCTCACGGCCATATAGTAGAACAAAGCAAACTGCAATGCAGTGCACTCGACTATTAATAAGCAATGGGATATAGCGGCGGCGCTACAGATAGTGTAAGGTGGCGGAGGCTAGGCGCTCCTTTCGTTTCCATTCAGAGATTTTGTCAGTTGCTGGCCGACCCTCCAAAGCTGATTCGATTTTCTAGGTAAGTGAACTGGTCAACCATTTTATTCCCTAGTGTTAGACAAGGGACAGTTGAAAACCACTTGTGGACCAACAGTTCTCATTTGGGTGGTGTGAATGTATAGTTTTGGGCATAACATGCACTAGTGTTGGAGCAGCAGAAAAAGGCAGGATAGAATCTCAAAAATACCGCGAAGTACTAAACCTAAAGTATCACAACATTTATCGCCGAATCCGACAACTTTAATTGAACGGTAGTTTTAGTCAAATTAGATTGATTCTTGAAAATTAACAAAAACATTCAAACAAAGCCGCACAAGGAGATTACGAAGCACACTGTTATAGAATCCAAAGTACATCTGATACGCCATTTCTGAATGAGTCTATATGGTTTAATTTAGTCCCCAGAACTAATAATGTCAGTAGAATCCATGCTGCAAATAAGATTGACTAACCAGGTTGCCCCATTAAGACAGCAGTCGACTTCACAAATATTCCAACTTATTAACTGTTTAAACGCAGCCTACATACTACATCGTATTCAAAACCATTCAAATCGTAGACCACTCAATTGTTATGAATTGCCTTGATGATCTACATATAAAAGACGTCGAGAAAGTACCTAGTTCTGATGTAATAAATCTTTGAACTGATACGGCAACAATATAATTCTAGAGACAGGCAGAAATAAGCTTAACATTGATTCCGAAATCCTTAGTAGAACTTGAGTACTAGTTGAACGAATCATATCAGGGATACATTCATATTTAATCTCTGCTGTCTTCAACTTTCAGGATCAGCTGTATAAAAATAGAAGGATTTGCAGTAGGAGCATCAATATGAATAATCGTAGCACATACATTCACCGACAGCTAAGAACGCATTGCGTTGGAGGCATTTTACCTTACTGCCATGGTATGACATTTATCCTATTAAAATCATGCATATAAGCTCATGAGTAAATGCGATCCAGTTCACTTCCAAATGGAAAAGGAAAATTACCTATGTTGGATTGCAAAATTAGACAAAGAAATAATGCGGTTTAGACATAGATGTCTATGGAAAGTAATCATTTTCTAATAGATTTTAGACTTCAAATCAGTGCATCCATAACCAGTTACAGCAGATCCAGTGAAATCTTTACGTAATGGAACTGGAAATTTTACTATTAGTTTTTTATGTTGTTGCCTGTATGATCCCGTCGTTGATTAGACCAAATTGATCGGTCTCTATTAGCACATGGTCTGCTGCCTGGATGCCTCAGTATTGCCCGCTGTTTTACTCAGTCCTGGATTCCACTGCTAGCCACTATCCATCATCAACATAAAAATTGAAATGACAGGTAATATCGAGGGATCCGCACAGGATCCCATATATCAATAGAGACCGGTCAGTTCGGTCCAATCAACGACGGGATAGTACAAGCAACAACAAAATACTAAACAACACAGAGTTTGAAATAACTATTTTGTTCAGGTTATCGTCTTCCATATCAGTATATCAAAGTGTAAATGAGCAAAGGGAAAGACTGACTTCAGTAGGTCAAATATTCTGACTCTGCTTCACCTGACGTATTTCAATCAGTCAGGTGAAACCAATAGCTTTCGCTCTGTGGATTAAGCTTGCGTCCGATGTCTAAACCAAATACCCAATTACCGAGTCATATTTGAACTACCTAATATATATAAACCCAGTGTGTTTTCACTTCACGAACCCATTGGATCAATTGTTTTTTTACTGTTCTTGTTTCCGTTAAATGCTTATCACTAATAAAATGTCTGTTTTGTAAATGACGACCCAATAATTGGGGATATTTAATGAAGTTAGGGAGTGGTTTTCATCACAAATACTACCAGCTGCTCAGTACTGTTTGATGTCAATTAGTTGTTTTGCTGACGTTGACTTGTGATAGAAATCGCTTCCGTATCATACTTGTTGAATTCTAAAGGATGGATTTCGCATTACTAATAAGAGTAAGTAAAGTACAAAGTTGTGACCCTTTTATTATTTTTAAACTGCTTCACTAGTTGTAATGATGGGTAGTGGCTAGCAGTGGAATCCAGGATGCGCATTTCGTCCTATTTGAGACTCAGCTGAATTTACCTTCCTCCTTATACAGACCGATCAATTCACTCCAATCAATGATGGTATGATACAAGCAATATTGCTTCATTAGTTGTTTGTTCACTATTAATCAACGTCCAAGCCTTGGGCTGTAATGCAGTTTTTTTTGGTGTGTCAGGATTTTTTTCGTTTGTAATAGCTATTTCAGAATTATGATCATGAAATTTTATTATGAGTAGTGAGATTTGTTTTTCCAACAATAATCGGTATGGATTTGTTGGTTCATTACACTACTAACAGAGTAGATTCCTTTAAATAGTATAAATATTCATATTTTCACCTCATTTTTTTCATTTTAGGTAAACATGCTGCTATTGTTTCAGATGAAATTTGTAAAAATCGCATCCTTCAGTTAGTGGATCCTACTGCATTCTCTCCAGAATTCCATGTTGACTGTCGTAATCTTTGTGCTAATTTTCGTGAGGATATACAGTTTCGCTTTTCTCTTAGTTTGGGTACGTTATTCCAACGCTTATCAACACCACGTCGTTCGTTAACCGGTGTAAGTTTTCATGAAGTTTACTGTAGTTGTCTGGCTACTAACATAAAAGAACACTAAAGTTTGGGGTTAGTCGTAAAGGACTTGAAAACCTTGATAAAACCTCCCTAGATAATGAGTTCTAGCCATTTACGAGCAGGATAGACAAGCGGATGGAACATAAATTTTCTGAAAATTCTTTATTCTTTCAACATTTTCAGAAGGACACGTTATTAAATGGTAGTCATTAAAAGGGAAGAAAATTCGCTGTATTTCATTACCAAATATTCGAAACTGCACTCCTACTTATGATCCACTGAACTCATGTTAGTCTTAAGTTTTACTGTCCGTAAGCGAATAGGTATTGGAGAATGTTATCAAGGTTAAGTGCATATAATGATCTGTTGTTTGAGGACAGTGTAGTTTATTTCACAGATCATTATTCGTTTTTATGATTTTGATGAAACAATCCACAAATCTTGTTCAATTGGGAGGTTATTATTTGTTATTATAACACAAACTTGGCTCATCATGGGCACCAAAAGATACATCAAAATATTAAGACAACAATATAACGATACATGGAACGGGAGAAAAAATGGAAGCAAAAACAGAAGTGGGTTTTTGAGAAAAACAGTCTCAAAGATAACTTCAACACTTCCGTTTCACTTTTCGATAATGTAAGAAACAAGAAAATTACAACACGATCGCCACTGGTTTCAATTCCAGGCGATTTGGTTTCCTCTCAAGTCACTTTGTTATGTGATCTCCCGGAGCCCATTCAGTGAGTCTTGAGGCACCATGAAGTGCTTAACCAAAACATATATCCTTCGTCTCACTGTGTGCTGGTCACTTCTCTACTTCTTTTAGTCAGTCCCGAGTCAAGTGAACAGTAAGCTGTGCGGAAACATTTTGGCCAACATACGTAACACACCTTCAAGCCACTGAAGTCACAGTTAATAAATGACGATGTCCATGACATCCAAACATGTGACACCTCACTTCAGAATGACAAAAATGGTGTTTTCACTGGATGCCAGCAAACCTATAAACATGACGACGATCAAGCAGGCAAGGTTGAGCATTCTCAGCTCGCCTAGGTCATGTTTCACAGGCGTAGAGCAAAACTAGTCTTACCGATGCGTTGCATACCCAACACTTCACAGCAAGGTTAACATCATAATAGCTTTGTAGATAGTCTAGATTGGCATGTACGGCTCTACCTTTCGACATCAAATTGGAAATCTCATCAGTCACACCTCCAGGTACATAGACTTTTGAACAACTCTCAGCGATTCACCACCAAGGGTGATTGCAGGTATAGTCTCCTATCAATCTGATAGAAGCACTTCAGTAATGCGAAAGCGCACACCGTGTTCACACACACTCGTCACCAACTGATTGAATACGATTTGATGAATAGCCCTAATATCGAGAAAAACAACGATCGTTGGCTTGCAATGCGTGTGATAGTGCTCAAGCATCTGGCAGACGGTAAACATCAATGCGTCTGCAACCTAAACGAACCCTAGGTTGCTTCCCTGGGATCAGATTCTCATGTGTTTTGGGAAGCCTACGAGCTATAGAAACAGTTAACTTTAGACGCTACTGGTAGCAGACTGAAACCCTGATGATTTCCGGAAATATTACCTAGATCACTTCTAAAGATGAATACAACGGTGGCTTCATTCCAGAGTGATGGGACATTCAGTATGCCACGCCTTTCCAAACAATATAGTCAGTTCCCTGATTACGGTCTCATCTTCAAGCCTTAAACAAACCTAGGATAGGTTGTCTAGGTCGGGGGTCTTATGACTTTTTAGAACTTGGAGTTCGGTGTGATACTTTGGATAGGTTTTAACTAATCATGAAGCACAATGAATTGAGGTAGATATTGTTAGAACAGAAGGCCGGCTGAACTGCTTTTCGAAGAGCTCCACTGAGCGTTCCGGGCGTCTATGAAAGTTGGTGGCCGGTGTACTATCCATTTCACTGAAAGTCTCACTGACACCTGTCATATATAAGATAATGCTCCAGAAATGACCTGTCTACCTATTAAAGGATGAGTACACTAGCGTTTACAGTTCTATCGGTCCTGTTATACCGCAGAGACATGGCCGTTAAAAGTAGAAGACATAGAGCGGTTACAGGGTTTCGATCACGGGTATCTTCATAGTATTGCTCGCGTTTGGTGAAATCACCATGTGGACAGTAACGATGTCAGGCGAAAGGTACTAGGCAAGACAGGCAAGTCAATTGGTGAGGTCGTGAACCTTCATTGGGTAAGATGGCTTGGACATGTATTCCAAACCCCCTAGTTGTACTGTCTATCCATACCTACCCGGTTATAGTACCGAACGTTTTTCTTTGCCCTCTTAATTCTATGGAAACACCTCCCGTCACGTGACGGTAGTGAGTAGGACTTCCTGGGGAGAAGCTATAAACGCATGTGTCAGAAAAAATCTCGTTGAGACATTCAAAAACTAAGTAATTCAGCGAAGAAAATTTTCTTCATATTGAATCGTTTTCAGCGGCTGTATATTCGTATTTATAGTAATAACGGATGAGTCTGTTATTGGCTATTAGGTCAACTGTAGGTCATTTAAACAGAATATTTCAGGATGAAATAGTGGATCGCGTTATCATAGTGTGTAGAAGGAAAATAAGCAGTCGACTAGCGTGGTGACTAGTAGGTTAAAAAAATAAACGGGTCAAAAGTAATAGTATTAATCATCGTCAATAATCGGAGTAAACTACAGCGAGAATTTTAATGGGAGATAGTAGCTAACATGTTAAGAAGTAGGAAGGTAAACATGTGAACATTTTGGGAGGATGGCCGGGATCATCCCACCCTCGTCAATGTCAGGTTTTTTGGGGGATGATGATCAGCTAATGCTATCAATTATCAGTGAATTGTCGGAATTTCATACAGTAATGACAATCTTGTTTACAAAACTTTAGATCTATGAGTGATGGCTAACACTTGTGACTCAAGATGTAGGTTGTGTGCTAGTTTAGTGCTTTCGTTTGTTAATATTTCATCATCGTTTTAAACGTGACCTTCAGGATAGCTTCGTGGGTTTAGAGAATAAATGAATCAGCTACTGGCTTTTTTAACTAGTACTATATGGATATAACGCGTTCTCTTTTCAGATACCATTTGAATTTCATCAATTTTTTTCATAATTCTTTCTCATCATCTCTTTCTCAATTACATTGCACAGTATCATTGGACACAATCGGATGGTATTCCTTCTAGTTTGGTCAATTCATCTTTACTAGCCAGATCTCCATTATCTATTGATATATTCCCATCGCTTATGAGCCGAAGTGCAGTTGGAGCAGTTATTGTTTTCGGAATAGTAAGTTTTATATTTGACTTTTGATATTGCTTCCTTTAGAATATTTTAAGACCTGAAATATAGGGTGTTATGAAATGACGTCTATTAAATACTTTTTGTCACCATATCGTACACTAACAATGAATCATGTTTGAATTAACCAGAGATATGCTTAAGCTTGACGAGATCTCGTACTGGATTCATTTCAAATTTCAATATATTTCGTGTTTGTTCTTAGTGGAATAAATAACTAAAACTTGGTGTTCGACAAGTGCTCAAAGTTGTTGTTGTGGCGTTTAATAGAACCTAGTAAATGAACAACTGAATATTCGTGTGCAGCTTTGAGTACTTTTCTGTGAAATGCTTTTGGTTCATGGTTAATAATTTTTCTACCCTGCCACTACCTGTATCATTTGTCACATTTCTTTTTCTCCACCTTAAATAACTTAGGGGAGGGTGGTATACCGTGCAGTAAACGTCAACCATCTGGTATCGTCATTCTTCAATGTGCTCTTTTTGGTATTTTGTTTTCACACTACCTTTCAGCCAGTATCAAAACCCTAGGGTTCATAATCACTTTCAGCCCGCGTATTTGCTGATCACATGAACTCTTTGTTCCGGTCTTCTTATTTTATTCGAATAAGTTGTTGCCTCAGTGACGGAATTAAAGGTACTTAGTAGACACATTTTGTTGTACTTGTAAAACACTAAGTGGTCTGTTGAATGACAAAGTTGGGGTGACTTGAGGTCACAGTTGACCTATACTAGCTGACGGTGTATAAACTTACGACAATGTTTTCAGTTAAGCTAAAACCAAGAAAACTCAAAATGTCTAGGCATAAAAAAATCGAAATGCACTCAGCAACCTTGTACACATTCGCGCAGTAGGCAATGAGCCTTGATGTTTTCAATAATTATGACATCTTGATTCCATATTGTGTAAAGTCAAGTAATGAGTCGTACACATATTTTACCGTTTTAATCAGTATACTCTTGCCTGATTAATGATGTAATTACTCTTTTGATCAATAATCTAAACATCCCAATCAATAAACGTTTTTGCGTTTTATATTTGAAATATTTTCCATGCATCAGTCAGTCAGTCAACATCGAAGTGGAACCTGGAACCTAGCAGTCTAAGCTGCAAAACCTCGCAGCACCACACAAGGTAGAAATTACCAAAATGAAAGAGGGAAATAAGGAAGAAGTCTTATGAAGGAAGAGGGATAAAACTAAGATGAAATTTGAAATGATTCAGATGCAGATAGTATATGGATGCATTTGTGCCACTTAGGTCGATTTTAAGCCATATTACCTTTTTTGTGGTCCTAAAACTTGGGAGGTGACATGTCTGAAAACCGGTCAAAATGGTGCAAATCTATTCACTTCCTGATGCCTTCTAAAGCTTGAATGTTTACTCTAGCCTTTATAATCAAATTGCCTGTTCTCTAACACAAATTTGCTACTTTAATATCACTCTTTTTCTGTCTACCTGCTATTTTTATACTACTATAAAGTTTGGCAACTTGAACTGATGGACTTGTATTCGAGGTTCTACGTTAAGTTTGTCTGTGTACCTGGCTGAAACCTAGGTTAATCGTTCGGTATCCATGGCGTAAAATCCCCTGGTCAAGATTATGTATCAATTATTATTTGAAGTTACTGCACATGCATTTATCGTTTAAACATTTGATTATGACTTTGGTGTATATAATTCAGCATGTGTGTAAAATCAGAGTACCAATGATTTGAAAATTGATATTCAAGATCTAAACATTGTTAATAAAGATGGAATATGAAGACAATTGAATCAGTTGTTATCAATTACATGAAGAACAACTTACAATTACAACAGCAACATGTGTATTAATTCGAGTCAATACCTATTATTATTATTGTTATTGTCTCTGTATTACTAAGCTAATCTACATAACTGAAGTTTTAAAAGAATTTATATCTTATGCAGTAGATGGCTAAAAGGATGGAGTTACTTTGACATTACTGTTGCATATGTTAGGACATCTAAAATGCCTGATTAAGGATCAGCTGTATTTTAATCTCATCTTTCAACATTATTTTATGGTGAACTGTGTTACTGAAGGACAAAAGGATTCAGGTCGTCTTACTTTCTTCATGCGTGCAACATAAACATTAAGTTCGAATTCTGAGGGCTATTATAACCCAGCATTATCGGTTGCTCGCTTTTAAAGCTCATATCTCCATTTAAAGTTTGTTTATTTCTAAAGGAGAATATTGATAATATTGAACAATTTACTTATTCATAACAATGTACCTTCTTTTGTATTTTCTTTAATGAAACGTATCAAGTATACATCATTGTTTAGTTCTAGCAGGGTTGATTGGATTCTTATGAATCATGCATTGTTTAGGGAGCTGACTTTCAACCAGTGGATCGTGGGTTCGAACACCGCTCCACCTCCCGAGGTTTTAGCAGCCAGCTAGTATCATTAGCCGCCACACAACAGGTGTGGCTCATTGCCTACTGCATGAATGAATATACACAAGGTTGCTGAATGGATTTCGACCTTTTTAATCATGCATGATTTCTCCATTTATAAAACAGCAAGTGAACTGTGAATGATACTCTCAGTTTTATTCATCCTCAACACTTTTTCAGGAATGTTGTTTCAAGTAACTCTCCATTGTGTTCATTTTAGTTAATTATTTTTATTCAGTGTACCTTTGATGTTTGTTGACTTGTCTTAGGCTTTCTTTTTCTTAGTAATATCTGTCAGCATAAACACTGTGATTCTGAGTAGGAATTCATTTTCACTAATTCTTTAAGTAGCCCATTGATATGTACAACCTCTGTTTATTTTTTGTTAGTAAAAATATTCCAGTACTCGTTATTTTGCAGTTGTAATTTGGTTGATAAACCTATGTTTTCACGACTGAAGTGTTCCCTCGGTTTTCTTATTTTTACTACTCAAGCTATCGAAAGCTGTTGGATGGCGTGTTCTAGCTCTGGCTTCTGGTATTTATGGTGGTCTTTACCTTTACGAACGTCTTTCTTGGACAAATAAAGCCAAGGAATCAGCTTTTAAACGTCAGTATGTCGATTTTGCGTCTCATAAATTACGTTTAATTGTCGATCTGACTAGTACAAATGCACGTCATCAAGTAAGTTTTTGCGAATTGAAACACTAGTACCTCTTTTTTGTTTCACCGTTGTATTTCTTCATCAGATATGTTTCTTATCGTTTCAAAATTGCTTGGTGAAGTATAACCTTTACACTGTTTTGTTATCCAAGCACCTGTTTTGCTATTAAAGACACCTAGTTTTGTAAGGACACTACTTGCATGCATCACTGTAATTTTTAATAAATTAGTCATTGGGCTCCGCATAAGTTGTAGTGAGTAAACTTGAACGAAGGAAAATATTCATTCGGTTAATTTTCACGTGATTCATTGGCTTAAGTACTCAACTTTCAAACAATGGATCCAGAGCTCAAATCCTGTTCCGCATATTTTGACTTGGACAACCAACAACCCGCTACATTGAGTGTAGTTTAGAGTCTGGAAAATATACTTGTCCTGGATTGAGTTGTATAATATAGCATTACTGTCGTGGTAACAAAACTGCTGGTCATACCGGAGTCAGTAATCGCCACGATGTTCCAAACTATGTACGGGATGCATAAATAAATACTTCAGGTAATAGCTGATGCTTATCGGTTTCACATCGTCCGCTTGTACTTACCAATTCGTTTACACTTTACAAAGCGGAAGGGTCGAAAAATGGACGTCCACAGCATTCACGTTTCAGGATCAATTTTAAAAAAGTGAAAGGGAAGAAGCGGGTATCCGTCACCTACTATCACTAGATTGGTGGTTGTGAAGGGTCACTGCAGAGGAGTTGGAAACTTTTGTTCCAAACCAGTGGTTCACACAATTACTACTACCCAAAACGACCGAACAGTACATGGACCCACTTTGGTTACCTAAGACCTTGGGACCACTGTTGTTGACATTACTCCGCTCTTTTTTGGATTAGATTTCAAGTGAAAGATTTGGGAATTGGTCGTTTTAGACGACCACCCCCTATTTCAACCTGGGCAATATCTTGACTCACACAATTCATAATAATTTAACACTGCTATGAAGACTTCTAGGTTCGCTCGACGTCTCTTGTGTCATTGTCACCTTGATTAGTAGAACCGAAGTTGTACTAATTGACCGGATTCCCATTCAGTTATCTATTTTGCCTAGTTGGAAGGTTTATTAGATAGCTAAACAAGCTAGCGATTGACACAATATCTTATCGTCATCTCTAAATATGCCCCGATTGATTTCAGATCACACGCAACTTAAGACGAATTTTGACACCACTTGATTGACCTCAATTGAGTGCACTCGAAATATATCGCAGTGCTAGCTGGAGACAATTAGGACATGCAGGTTTAGAATACAGTCACTTAGGTGGTCAACAGGAATTAGTCAGTCGGAGTTAAGATGATAGAGGTAGTCTTCTACAGTTTTGTATTCATTATAACTTACTCCTAGCCAGCACCGGCCTCTAGCACTGGTATCACCGTTGTGCAAACTAGTATCCTCTTGGCACTAAAGTCTGAACTGAAATAGATCATGTTGCAGTTAGCTATGGAAGGCATTCATCAACACAGGTCTGTCACTCTCTGTGAAACACCTGTTTGAACTTCGGTTATGCTTTAGTTTGCGTCAAGTTCATCTTGTGTTGTAGTTATCATCAGTGTCATTGGCGTGAACTAATTTGTATGAGAAAGTTTTTTGTCTCTATTGTTGCTACTACGTACTAAATTGACGAATATTCAAGAATAGCTACTGAACCTCCATAAAGTTTAGATTAGAATACGGTTAAGAAACTGACTTGTTTTTTTCGAGAAGGTATGTCAAAATGATATGTTCCATCATCGTAGAATGTGAAGCCATCATCGTTTTCAGTCTTATATTGAACCCACGTAACATGTGTGCGAAAAATTAACGGTGTCAACCGGCTACCAGTTAAATTCAAAGCGTTCAGTATTTCATGTTCGTATCAGTTAGAGAACCATTAAGAATCTAGGATTCCTCAGCAGTGGGCGCCCACAACCCTACGAATGGGTGAACCAGGGACCTACACATTTGTCACTTTGCAGGCTTTGGTGAACTTGGGAAAACTAATTGACAGAAAGTAAACCGGGTTTCATCTTACCTGTCAATATGCTTATACTCTGTCACATACTCAATTATCGTCACATATCGTAGGTTAGTAATTGTTATATTTCTCAACATTTGGTTTGTTCGAATAGACTTTGCTTTATGATTGTCTATTAGAGAGGTTTCTCCCTAGATAAGTTTATCAGCATCCAATGGGCTGTACCCTAAAGGATTTGATGTGTAGTGAGAACATGCAATCATTTTACTTTATTGTTCCAAACCAGCAGTGGGGTTTAGAGGAGGAGGGGGGGGGTCACTCTATTCCATCAAACCTCTTTAACTCTACTTTCAATGACATTTTTGAAACAGCTTTGAATTAAGTGCGGGCGCTAGTGTAGATATCCTATCAAGGGAACAAACTTTTTGACTTTGTGTATGCGGAAGATAATGTTTCACTGAAAAACAACATACTTGTCATTTAAGTTGCACTTAGTCAATTGGCGATGAGTGTATTTAAGGATGGTATGTACACGTAATGCATCTATAAAATTGGCGGAAGCCTATTCGTGCACTCAAGTTTTGACAGTTACTGGCGGAAATTGTCTAAAATTCCACGTGTCTTGTTTGTTATGTAGGTGCTGGTGCAGGTGTGACGTATGAGATTTATTGTGGTGTATCTGGTCACATTTGTGCTATTATGATGTTTGTGTGGTTTTTGAAGATCGAGTACACAAGGCATCAATGCTGGTAATTCCGTTCTACGCTTGTCAAACATAGCCTTTCCTATCTGATAATGTTTGATTTCTGTTGTCTCCCTGGGATTGTTGGCATTTGGTAGAATCACATTGCCTGAGCATGATGGAGGTCATTCATTCAGTGAACTTATTTTTAAACGTCGACTCCTGTGACTTAAACGTTCATTATGAAGTCATTGCAACGACTTCTACATCGTTCAGTTTACTAGCACTAGAATTAAGTAGAAGAAATGTAGTTCAAGTATAGTGAAGTTTTTTTTTGAACATATCTGTCGAACTGACTATCTGATTACTCTCTTTTCTTAAGTTTTTCTGTGACTTAATTTCTTTACTGTATTACGTTGTTTCGTGATGTGAACGTCGTATGGAGTTTGTGTATAAGTAAAGTAAATAAAAGAATTCATTGAATGTTTCAGAAGGTACTTATGTTGGTCGGATGGAGGTAATCGATAGTTATTCATTTACTTGGGTTTCATGCCTGTTTACTATTATCATTATTTGTACTTTGGGTTCCTAGTAGAACATAGGGCTTCAGTAGCACGTCTCCATTTCACTCTCTTCTCTGCAGTCTTTTCAACCTGGCTCCGCGACTGCCTAGAAGCTTTCATTTCTTCCTCACACGACCTCCTCCATGTGGTCACCCTCGGACGCCCAACTCGTCGTTTCCCATACGGGATCCACCCGAGGGCCTGACCTGGCACGTGATGTCCCCAAACGGTCTTCTAGGTGTATGCCCAATCCATCTCCACTTTCTTCTGCATATTTGTTGGGTAATGGGTTCTTGGTTGGTCCGTTGCCAGGCCAGAGAGAGTTCCTTGTTACTTATTCTTCCTGGCCATCTGATCCTCAGCATCAAGCACAGGCAGCAGCTGTTGATGAATGTCTGTAGTTTGTTGGAAATGCTTTTCGTGATACACCAAGTTTCTCAACCATCACATAAAAGTACTGACTTGACGTTTATGTTGAAAATCCGGATCTTGCTCACACTTTATGCTGAGTGTGGTAGATCTCCACACTGATTTCAGGTTAATGAAGGCCTGTCTGTAGTCGAAACGATGCTGCCTAGGAGGGTTGGTGAAAGAGACAGCTTCCTTTAGACTTCTCCAGTTGATGGTGATTGGTGCTTGTTGTTGTTGTTGGTTGTGTATCTTCATCACTTCTATCTTCTCTCCGTTCACCTTAAGGAAGCCCGGTCTTCCTTCGCTGACTCACCTCTCCTGCTAACTTGTTAGTTTTTGCCTGTAGATTTCGAGTTTGTGCTACAAGACATAAGAGATAAATCATCATCGTGGGCGAAATCCAAATCGTTTAGGGTCTTTTCATCGGTCCAGTGAGGGTATGCCCATCTTCTCGCTCCTCACAGTTTGTTGTATGATCCAGTCTAGTCGAGTCGACTACAATCAATCAGGAAGATCATTGGTGGTTTTAGGCGATAACCTTGTCTTACTCATGTCTTCACTTCGAAGGCGTCACTGAGCTTTCCATTGTGAATCAATCACTTGGTATGTGGCATCATTTAGCATAGCATTGCATATAGGTGTTGAATTGGACTGATAAAGGTTAGTGGTATTCCGTAGTGTTGAAGCAGGTGTCTACGAAATTACTTGTGTGTCGACGCTGTTTAAGGCCTTTTCGAAGTCGATGAGGTTGAGGTAGAGAGTTGACTGTTATTCTACACTCTATACTTTATAATGTTGCGTGGTGTGGCGTAGCGTTGCAATTTGATCCTCAAATGATTTGTTCTTCCTGAAGCCAGCTTCGTGCCTGTTGGCACTCCTCAATCCACATTTCAAAATAATAGAATTCATTCGGTACTCAGCACTAGATAACATATAATTAGTTACTCTTCAGTGACTAGTCAATCTTTCACAGTTATGCTTCATGAAACCGACGGGTATCAGCAACTTTGTTGTACATCATCTTCGTGATATTGACATGAAAATTTAAAGTGTACACATAACAACAACAAAGCTTATCAAAATTAACGATGACGATTTGGAGGTTAGTACTTATCTTTCATAGTCAAAACCAGACGTTAGTAAGTTTTCAGCCTCTAGATTGCAGTTATATTTCATCGAACCTAACTCAAAGTTATTCATGTCTTGCTATTTTATTCGTTGCTTTGCATATTCAACTTTTTCGAAGACTCTGGGACTACCATCCTTAAAGGCTAACTGTATTGTACATTTCTGTTTTCTGCATTATCATTATGAATAGTCTTTTTAGGCTAGTTTCAATAAGGAAATAACTATCTGAAGCATTCCTAAACTACTTATTTTTTTATCCTTAGTGCATGTTAACGATTAAAAATTCAATGAAATCACCACATAGATTCTCTTTTGATTAGTATCAGCATTAGTCTGTAAGGTGCAGCGTAAAGTTAGACTGAAAAGGCTTAAGAAGGCTTCAAGTGTTTGACCACCGTTACCTTCGTAGTATAGGCCGTATTCCATGGTGTTATCAAGTGAGTAATGCAGAAGTCAGGAGTAGAGGTAAATCAGTTGACGAAGTTATGAACCTTCATCGATTGAGATGGTTGGGACACGTACTACGTATGCCTGGTCACCGATTGCCTCGTCACACAATGTTGGTCGAAGTAGGCCCAGGCTAGAAAAAGGCCCGAGTTGGCCAGACTAAAACATGGCATCAATGAAGTCTCTGACTGTTGGTTTAAGCCATGTAGGACGATGCAGACTAGGTGGTTGGGGTCCGTGGGACAAGAGGAACCATGGTTGGAGACTCTAGGTGATATGGCTCAGAACCTATGTCAGTGGCTCAGATGTATACACACATTATCCTCATCTTAACGACGCTATACCGAATCTCACCATTTTGTCATTCCTTTTTTCTTTCTTATGCTTTATATTTTTTTGACTGCATTCATTTATCTTCATCCTTCACCTCACTACCTTTCTACTTGATGTACTGATATCAGCTGTGGCAAGTTGGACCGTTACGCAGTAATGCCTGGTCCTATGTTGATATTGACTGATTGATTTAAATCTTACGAAAACAATAAATCTTACGGTTATTTTATCACTCAAAACGTAATTGGCGATTCTTCGAAATTCATTTTTTCAAACATCATTCATAAACATGTACATAGAAAAAGACAAGACTTGGTTGCTTCATAACCGGAAATAATTCTGGAACGTTCTGCTTACTATAACATATATTCACGAATGTACAGCTTAGTAAATGACTTGGTCAAGAAGAAAATTTCTTCTTCGCTACAACCACGTCTTGTCTTTTCTTATGATCAAATGGGTGTGTTCCGCTGTTTAAAAATATATGCATACTTTACTTATCTTCTTTAGGCTAAAAGAGAACTGCATTTAGCGCATAAAAAGCTATCTAGTGAGGTGGAACATTTTGGTGATAACCTGGTAGAAGAGGTAAAGCAATTAGATAATGATATTGGCCGACTGGATTTGATAACTGCAGAGGCAAAGAAACTTAAGTAAGTGGATCTTTTCGTCAAAATCATGTTACTGAAATGTAGTATATATATATTTTTTGTGAACTTAACTTTTTGGGTTTTTATCATGCTAAGTATTTTGTATGAAGAAGGTCTGTTGACCAAAGTATTTTATATAACCACTAGCTGTTAGTAAGTTTTCGTCTCACCTTTAGACGCGTTGTTGCAAGGGGTCCTTGGGAAGCGTATGTGTAAGTTTAAGGGCGCTACAACTCACTTAGCATAAGAATCTGGAAGAGAAAAGAAGAAAAAAAACGTGAGTCGACGACTCAGCCAAAAAGATGTACTTACGCTTAGATGATAAAAGACAATCGACAAGAGTTTATAATGATAAGAGAAGATAGTTTGGGAATCATGAATGAGTATTCAAACACATTACACCTTGTTCACCGTTTTATTAACGAACGAACACTGCCCAACTACCGGAAAGTTCATTCAAACGAATTCTATTTAAGAATCATACAGTTTTTTAATCACCTAACCACCCTTTTTAGTAACTATGCGTTGAGTTCTTAAATATGCTCAGTGAATGTAATTCTCGATATGAGGAAAGTGAAAGTCAGTTCACATATATCTATCCTGTGTGCAGTTTGTATTGTTGTTTTGACCTTCAAAACATTCACTATTCAACTTATTATTAAGTTATAGGTGTGTGTCGATCAACTCACTCTAGTAATTCAACTATACATACAATAAAAAATTTTGGTAGTACTCTGACACCTAGATTATAGTCATTGTTTGCACCGTACAACCTTGAATTCACAGGTTAGAGAATAATGATGGTGTAGAGTTCATACCATCTCATGTAGATCGTACTGAAATCTAGTTTATTATAAGTTCGGATAAGTTATCACCCTAATCTATCGAGAAAGTGACAATAATACCAAACTATTGATCTTATGCGTGACTAACGATTATATATGAATTTCTGAAATATATACCTACTATTGTAATGATAACACTATACTTTATTATGTTTACACATTAAGTAAAGAATAATCATCGCACATATATGACCAGTTTAAGTTTGTACTCTTTAAACAGCTGACAATTCAAAGGAAACTTATATAAAAAGCTTTGTTATTTTTGACAGTATTTAGCGTTTAGTTTTAATTGTAATTCTTTTATTTTTCATTGGAACCGAACAAACTACTTTTAATGCTATTTATTATACATTCATGTTCTTTTATTTTACAGAAATCGAGCTAACCAACTAGCTTCTAACCTATCAAAGTTTCATGAGACATTCATTTCGAATCCATGGGATGAAGCTAACTAGAACCATTTTATAATACTGAGTCGGAGAAATAATTTTGTATATGCTTACTTTATCCATTATTCAAGTGAAGTTGATGACAAGAACAGAAATCTAGAAGTGTTAAATGTATTCTAGCAGTATAGCAGCTACTGTTTACTTATTTTCTCCCCAAAGCAGTTTAATATATATGCACATTTTCAGTCTAGGCTTTAACGAATAGTTTTTAACTTTTTCAATGCATTCGATATACTACTTTAGATCCTGTTAAAGCATAAAAGTAAGTAGAGACAAGAAGATACTTTTAGATTTAAAAGTGATATTCTCTTAGTAAATATGAGTGTAATATACCTTCTTTTCTCTAGTTAATTTACGTATATATTTCTTCATTTATGAAATTATACATATGAGTGTTCATGAATTTATATAATGTACGCCAGTGAGTGAGTAGAGTAAACTGCTTGGGAAAATGTCCCCATATCATGTTTACTTTTTTGACTTTTGTCATTGTTGTTGTCGTCATCATCTCCTGTCTCGATTCTTTTTGTTGTTGAATGGATGTACACATTTCTGATAACAATGATTTCAGTTTTACTTCAGGCATAAAACTTTCATTTCTTCAAGTTAATACATGACAATTTCTCCCTTATCATCAGTATTACTGTTGTTATGTGATACTTTCATTTATGGAATAGTGTTATGCTATTTAGCTGTCTATGTTGTTCCAAATTAGGGAATGCTTTTTAAATTTGGAACAATTTTAGTTACTTAGTTCCACTGGATGTTTCAGTGATTGTTTATAATCGATACGTTGGATGACTGGTTCAACAGATCTCTTCATTTTATCAAGACAGTGTAGCATACGTTGTTTTCACACACTTTCATAATCCTAATTGCAGAATACAAAATTTCTTCTTGAAATAGCACATTGAGAACAGCAATTGTATGGTAGGATGACGTCATTCCATTTCACAACATTTTCGTCAACTTTATACAGTTTGAATAAGTAAGTGAATAATCAGTGTAACATGTAACATACCTTAGATGGAGCGTTTTAAAATACCATTTAATGTTCTGAGGATCAGAGAAATATTACAATTCAGTGTATTTAGAAGAGGCCAAAAAAGTAGATTCAGTCAAATTGATAAATTAATATTATTAATAAAGCCAAGATAAGACAGTAAAAAGTCAATAGTTACCAGGGCATTAATACGTTGGAAACTGTCTCCATTTGAACTCATCGAATAGTGATGGCTATAGCAGTTCGAAGTAAGCGCTAAGTCTTTTGTTTTTTACATACTATGAAAAATTCACTTCGTCCACTTGATGTCGCGAACATGTGACAGACTATTGTACTTTTGAGTGAGGATGAGCCTCTCAGACGTAGGCTGTTAACATATGCTTAGCAATCCTAGTAGACAACCACTTTACTGTTTTTCCTAAGTACTCACTTCTGCACGTATAGATGAATTGATAGTAGTAGTTGACAAGAGTTGAGAATTTGGGTTGTTTAGTTGAACATGGCTTTTGATTATATGCAACAAATCTCTCAGTCGGACAGATCATGGACAGTGTACTCTTAGTTCACCTGTTGATTTTTGCCGCCATGACATAATATTATTTGAAAACCAAAGTAAGAAACAACTCTTTCGTCCAACAGTTTTACACTCTGAAATATAGAGAATATTTCCAGCTCAGGTGGATGGCCTTGGTTGTATTGTGTTCTCTGAGCTGGGTTGTTTAATCATGAAGCTTTCATCGCCTTCATAGATGACATCATCAGCATTAACTTCAGTATGAAGTGAGCTGTAAATATCTCTCCGTAAGTGATTTAGTAGCTTGCCTTGATGAAGGGGTCTGCGATTGGTTGTCTCCTTTCATTGTTGTGTCACTGACTGTATAGATTTTCTTGTTGGCCGTTCTTCTGTTTGACTTCTAACCTTTGTGTCGTTTATCGTTTTTTTTATTAATTGATATATTCGGTCTATGTCTATACATTTGTTGATTGCTGACTGAGCTGAATGCCAAGCTTCTAGGAATTCTCTGATGTTCTTTGTGTTTCCTCTGTCCAAAATTTCTACATTGTCGAAATCGAATACATGTCCATAATTATCCACGTGGATTGAAATGGTTGATGAAATGTTGTGACGTTTAATAGCTAATTGGTATTCATGTAGACGAAGACGAACAGGGTGACCACTGACCAAATCCTCAACTACAGTAGCAACAACGCACAAAATCAGTTGCGTGCAGACTATTCAAAAGAGGGAGAACACACTACAGTATACCAACTTCATAGAGAAACGAAGAAAATTACTTGATGTTTATCCTAAAGGACAACGGCTACCCAGGAAACTTTATCAGAAGATACCTGTCCCGTACATCATCAACTACAAAGTCATCGACAGAAATCAATAAACGCATAATCCTACCATTCATAAAGAACATATCCGAAATCACGAGAAGATTATTGAGACCACTTGGTGGAATTGGTGTGGCTCATAAACCAACAAATTACTTCCAAACACTATTATGGAGACCAAAGGATGCAACAAGCAAAGAAGACAAACCGAATATCATTTACAAAACCAACTGAAGTAACTGTAGTCAACACTACATTGGAGAAAGTGGTCGCCCTCTCCGCCTTCGTCTACATGAATACCAATTAGCTATTAAACGTCACAACATTTCATCAACCATTTCAATCCACGTGGATAATTATGAACATGTATTCGATTTCGACAATGTAGAAATTTTGGACAGAGGAAACACAAAGAACATCAGAGAATTCCTAGAAGCTTGGCATTCAGCTCAGTCAGCAATCAACAGATGTATGGACATAGACCGAATATATCAATTAATAAAAAAAATGATAAACGACAGAAAGGTTAGAAGTCAAACAGAAGAACGGCCAACAAGAAAATCTATACAGTCAGTGACACAACAATGAAAGGAAACAACCAATCGCAGACCCCTTCATCAAGGCAAGCTACTAAATCACTTACGGAGAGATATTGACAGCTCACTTCATACTGAAGTTAATGCTGATGATGTCATCTATGAAGGCGATGAAAGCTTCACGATTAAACAACCCAGCTCAGAGAACACAATACAACCAAGTTTTATACACTGCTTTCTTTTTCATGATGTAGCTGGCTGATGATTTTTAGCATTAAAATTCATCAACAGTTACACAAAAGAAAAAAAATTCATAATCCCAACCATATGAGGCATCATCCCTATGAAGTTCTGTAAAACTCGACTGGACATGTTCTATATGAATTTATCAAGTGACTAGTGAGAAACACGCCAACGATTCTGACGCAATGAGACACTGGAACTAAATGCAACTATCGACTTTTCTCCCTCATTACCTTATACTTCACTGAGCCACGAAGTGTTAGAAGCCAAAGACTGACCTGTGACAGTAAGGAAGACATATTATTCGACAAAAATACAGTTTTCATGAACATCTAAAACCACTTAGTCAAAAGATAAATAGTTTATCCTGATTAGTCAAATGCAGTGTAGAATCTTCCTCTAAGGTTTTTCCTGATCACGGCAGCATGGAACGAAAAATTAAAATAAAAACTTCAACGTATTGGCTGAAGCCTTAAAACGTTGATTTCCATTTAGGCCACTTCCTATCACTCAGATGTAATAGGTTGATCAAAACAAACTGTAGTGGTCATTGCTGTTCAGAATAGATATAAATAGTACGTGTTGAGAGGGCGGCAGAAGTCATAGGGAATTATTATCGATGGGTAAAAATTCTACCCAGAGAAACGCAAGAGGCAACGCGGGCGTATTAAGAGTAAATCAAGATAGAAGCAGAAGAGGAAATGAAGCATATTCCAATGACTGTCTTAGTACAAGGTGTACCATATTTGATGAATACTGTACGAGATGTCAATAATAAACATTCCTTCCTTCGTCTCTTTCCTTCAAAACTTATACGAAAAGTGAAGTGCAGTGACATGCTGGTAAAATAACGAATCATATGGAAGTATAAAAAAGTAAGAGGAAATGTGAATATTGAAGGTTCAGTTGTGTCACCGAAATTACGAATTTTATTACGCTTGTCATACTATGTTAGTATGTCTGTGACGTACTGAAGGACTTTTACTTTATTCGATTGCTCTAACCTAACATCTGTGATAAAGTGATTGAATAACATGGATTCATATTTATTGGAAATATACTTCTTTAGTGGGTATCATTATGCAAAAAGCGGTTTAATTCTTTCTACTAAGCTTTTTGGAAATCTAATATTACTATCTAATTTTCCGGCTTCATGACGACACTTCAGTATTGATCAACGCTATATATCCACTCAGTACTGACTTCAAAGTAACACTGACAGAAAAATGTAATAGTATGATCGAAAATTCGCTTTTATGCTTTAGGTTGATCAATGAAAAATGAACTTACTATTTCTTACCATCAATTCATTCGTTGATATGAATGGAAACAGTTGATTTTCTGAAGCAAATGCTTTGGAACTCAGTTATTGCGAAATAATTTCTGAAAAGTTAGATAATTAGCTAATACATGATGTATAATTAGGCTTATTCTTCTTAATCTGATGTATTTTCATTGGTAAAATTATACGTGTCTCTTGATCACTTGGAATTCTTACATTGGACTTGTTACATTTTGTCGCAGCTGACACCCAGCTTATGCCTGCAAAAATCATTTCTTCAAACGAAAACATGGGAGATTCGTCAACCATCTTTTGTAGTTGGGTCAATAAAATAACTCTACATTAAGATTATTTCGATTCTATGATGGCGTAGAACTAATTGGGAAGATCTTAAACCTATATTTCAGCAGTCGATGATATGCATTTTTAAGTTTTGCTTTAGCTACTTCTTGTCTATCAGTAAGTTTGAGACTTGTTTTACTTCTACTCTTACTTTTAAAGTTCATGTACACTGTTTTAAAAACACTTTCTCCTAATCCTGTGAGTTCAGGTTGCATTGTTTCTTTGATTGAAACGTTTGGACTACTTACCCAGTATCCACACATTCTGTGGTCACAAATTCATCGATACTATCCTATGATAGGCATCGTTGTTTGAATCTTGTCGTAACACAGACTTTCATCTCCATAAAGTAAACTTGTCAAATTGAGATTGTCTCAAACCATATAATTAACAAATATTAACCTGTCTCAAACATTGAGTTCTGTAAATGGATAAATGTGAGTTGGTTGAAATTCGAAAAAAAATGTTGGTTTTAGTTTCAAATGTGATTAAAATATCCAAAGAATATGAGGTTATGCAAATCAACCGAACTAACAGCAAACTGTTAGTATTTGGTGACTGTAGATTTGGGAAGATAGATGTTTTGCAAGTAGACGCTGTATTGAAGATATAGTCTTTTTTTCAGTCGTCAAAGAGTATCAAATGTTATGTTATTTGTTGTTGAGAGACGACTGAATCATATCAGCTGAATTTTCAGCATCATTACAACCAGGACTACCACATCTAAAAAACAGTTTGCTGGTTGTGGGTAGAAGTGAAGGGTGCACGTTCTGCCCTACTTGGGACTCGTCAGCTAGATGTACTTGAACCCCAGTGAGTGATGGTATTTCCACTGGG